AATGAGGGAAAGAGGGAGAAGGACCTTATCCCAAGGTTGTAAAGTTATGGAATTTTTTAAAGTCATTTGTCATTAGACATGCTCTCGCACATTCCCAGAACATTTACTCGCATACTGAATTAAAAAATTATTAATTATTTTCTGAACAATTCTCGCTTCATCTGTACGTCGAAGGAAGCCCTCAGGGCTGCCAATGAGAAATCAATTGCTATACAGACAACCAGGCCGTGCTAAAGAGATGTCAGCTGGGGACAATTACCCTATCCGACTATTTGAGTACCTTCTATTGAAGATGAAGATGAAGATAATGAGCAAGCTGAACAAGATGAGAAAATATGGCTTTCAAAGATTGTTTACACCGTAAACAGGTCGTGGGCATACCTCAGAACACTTGCGACATCGCAATGGAATGATGTATTGCAAGGAGGCCAAACCAACGGCTGATCCAGAAACAAGGTCGATTCGAGGCATTGAGTGACATCTACGGGACCTGGGTTGATGTCTCGTGCCGTAGGTGAGGTAATGATGGGTGAGGTGATGAGTGAATGGAACCAGATGATGTGCGTGGCCCTGGCGCTTGGTGGGCCTTTATCAATTCTGTTGCTGGTTCGATTATCCACCCATCAACACAGTACTAAAATTGAAAATAAATATTAAGTAAATATTATCATGACGAGATCTCCGCATTTCCGTCGTTCGTTGGCGATTGGCCACACTCGCATTTCCCAACTTCCTTTGAAATTCAATGCGTGACAAGCTATGTCGCAAATTATGCCGCCTTTCGACTGCCTTGCAAGTCCCTGGTGAGGCGCCTTTGCAGCCCCTAATAATGCGAAAACAAAGCAAATCTCAATTGGAGGCTGGAGGGCTAGTTTCGCAAGGGCCTTACAAGTCGAAATTTATAATTCTGACATAGGAATTGAGGTTTTGACATGGGCTAGTCGATATCTAGTCGCTCTGGCAGCCACAATGGTCACCGTTTCCAATGCACAAAAAGTCCGTTATCATAAGTTATGTGCGGTCAGGTGAGATATCTTACGGATCTTGCCTTCTCGCCCATCCGAAGGGCACGTCGAAGTGAACGCTTGTCGTTGGTCCTTGTAAGTAAAGCATAATCTCAACTGCATGCAAATATACGAAGTAGTGGTGCCAGTGGCGTTAGTAACCTCGAATCTTGCGTCTGACACAGTGGCAGTACCTTGGCATAGCTCATATACATGATATGTAACCGGAGCCATCAATGTCGAATATCAAAATGATAAAGTATACATCCCACAAATGACTTATTCAAATAAGCACTAAATGAATAGTCTGAGGCCCCAGCCCTTTGGATGCCATGGCAGGCAAGGTTGCCGCAGGTTGCCGCCCATGTGGCTCTTGACACACGACAGCGGGTGAGAGACGAGAAGCGAGTCTAGATCCAATGAAATCGGATAAGAATATGTGGGGCTATTGGTCCACCTCAAAGACCGCTATGCGCAATGGCCTCTCCGGTACCCGAATCCACCACTCTAGCCCTGTCTTCCAACCCCAGTGAATTACAGCTCAAGGTGGTTATACGGTTGAATGATACGCGCAGATTGAAGTTTCTTGAGTGGATTGTTGAGATATTGCTTCTACCTTTTATTACGACGCACCCTGCACACAGACAGACGGGTTCGGGGGGAGCTGGAGAGGGCCATACACGAGATGTGAGGCTATGGTGAACTCCCCGATGGGATCGTCCGTAGAAAATAGATAAAACCGGAATAATTGCTCAAATACTGTCACTTATTCTTTTAACCCTGCTCCCCGATAACTGGGAGGAGGTCAATATTTAGACCCTATCAGAAATTGAGAAATTGTTATTAAATGATAATTTTAGACGGACGAGTAAGGGCCGCTGAATTACTGAATTGAGCGCTATGCTTTCAGCGCCAACTCCCCTCTTCCAGCTCCCCATTCA